ATAATTTTACACTAATACCAATAAGTAAAAAAATAAAAAATTCTTTAATATATTTTTCCAAAAAAGCAAAATACTTTTTACTTATTTAAAGGAACAAAAAAAATATTTTCACTAAGCATATACGCACTATTTCAATATAAATTTGCTTATGTAAGATGCTTTTACAAATATCAGTTATAGAGTTTTAAGGTCTGCATGATAAAAGTTAATTGTCGACTGTCAAACAATTTGCAAATTGTCAATCAAATTGTACCCTTTTAAATGCAATCATGTTTTGTTGCAAAATCGACTTATTATCATACCATCCCATAGCAACAATAATAGCAAATACTCTAACAAAAACAGCAGTAGCGCAAATTACAAAAGCACAGGGATGGAGACATTTGTAAATTTCCTTTTTATACTGGCTGGTATTACAAATAGATTCTCAGGCGACTCTCAAACATATAACTGTGGCGGGTGCCTCCTGTAATTTAGTTAGTAGTGTTATAATCTGCTAGCCCGCGTCCGATTTCCACCAGAGACTCTAGTAAAAGATTGCACAACAGGCCCTAATGGCCTAGATATATTTCTTCGGATCTGATGTAACATACAACCCGCTTTAAAACTAACTAACTATAACCTGGCACTACAATATTATTTCCAGGATCAGTAAGTAATTTCCTAACATTAACTACTAACATTTCACAACACTCAATTTGTCCATCCCCGAGTCTGTGAAAGTCATCAGTGAGTTGAAGATATTTTTGAAAAAGATTTTTAGAACTAATTGCACTGTCAAAGCAATTGTAAATGAAATGCTGTAAATTACACAAAAAATGGAAATATAGAACATCGTCACACAAGAATCAACAAAAAAAAAACAAAGAATTGACAATGAAAAAATACGAAATTTCAAGAACAAAAAAGGAATTAACAAACACAAGGCACAGTAACAAAGTAATAGAAACAATTTGATTATTTTACATAGATAATAAAAAACTAGTTTTGCAAAGCAAATAAAATAATAGTTTTGAATTTGTATATGAAACATACTATAATACAGTCACTCCAAGGACTCATCGAATTTGGAGAATACAATCTCTCAATCAATCTTCTGATCAATCCTCCGATCTAAACTCAGTAGAAAACCTACGACATAAATTAATAAAACAAATCTCTAATCTTCTCTGTAACGCTAAAATAACAAGGAATGTCCTGTCCCAAGGCAATTTCGACCATGATAAGAGTAATAGCAATTATTGAAAAAAATTATGGTGGATATTGAGGTTATTGAGTCCTAATTAATATTTATTCAAAACACCAACAATTCTGGCCATATACAACTATTATTTGTCCAAGCCATCACTGAATTTTTCATTTTAGTAAAAATTCTATCATTTTGAGCACAAACCTTATACATTTTACTTCACTTCCTTTTTCTCTATTTGTTCAACTTTTTATTTTTTTTATCAGCAGTTAACATTTCATATGATTTCATTTAAGGGAAACTATTTGTGGTAGTGGTAGACTATCAATGCATGAGTTGATATATTCAATGTATGGAAGTGTCACTTTTTGCATTCATCAAACATCAACTGTTATAAATTGTGCGAGCATTCATTTCTAGGTTGCTTAAAATCGCAATATTTTATGAAGCTAGTTTTTATATGACTTCGCCTACTCTCTGTAAAATGATATGGTCGTTTCGTATGTTACATCTATAAGATGTAAATTTTTGTTTAAATTTTCTATGTTTTGTATAATCAATAAAGTAAGAAATATATGCATCGAAGACCGGTAGAGAAGGCGGAATTATGGTATTGGATGTTACATCTTAATATGACACTTGGTATGAAACGAAAAATATGACTGAAGCATTGGCAAAAGATTTTTTAAATTTAAAATTATTACCGCATTATGGTAATGAATTTAGGGGAATAGGAGTAGAGTTAAAAAATTATTTTAACTGAATCAGAAGTACATTTATTGGTAATAATGAAAAATGTCTTGTTTCAATTTAATCAAATTTCACAACAAAGTTACTGTATATTATATTTTTTTAAACAAAACTTGTTTTATATAGACGTATTCTAAAAACGCCGTCCCCTAAAAATTAAACCGTTTTAAATTAAATACGTATTCAACAAATTATGAATTACATATAGTTTTTATAAAATAAAGTAGTTTTCCTATTTAGACTTGTTTTAACTGTGACCCTAAATAATATTAATATGAAAATCTTAAAATTTCTAAATTCCATGAAATTTCTTTAACAACACTCACATTGGATAAATAGTGAATTAAAGTAATATTTCTAAGCGATGATGAAAATGTTCGAAATCTGTGTGATCTCCCTCTGAAAATCTAATATCCAAAATGAAACTCTGTAATTTAAAGTATAATTGATTAATTTAATTCTCTCTAAACCTCACCACTCTTGCCATGAGAAGTGCAAATTCTACAATAAATACCATTGGAACTACAGGGTAGATATACACAATTATATATTTTTGTGTGTAAATTTTGTTTCGTCTAGTTAATTTATAAATGGTTGGCAAAGATTATTCATCCATATAATTTATGGACTTCACAATTAACACACAAACACCAATCTCGAAAGTGTTTGTATTAGTTCCATATGATGTGATAGAAGTTCTTGTAAATAGTATTAAATGGACTTAAAATTTGAAACTAATTAAATGCGGTTTTATTAATTTGAATAATTGTGCCCCCTGAAACGAGTGATGCGATAATTTTAAGACTCTTAAATTAGTAAGATTTATTTTAAAATTAAATACATTTTATGTGTACAATTTGTAAAAGCATGTCCTGTTGTTACACATCTATTGCCGTCATGAATTTTTACTACAATAAGTAGCATGTATACATAACTATTCGATATAAATACCTATGTATGTATTTAATTATGTATGTCGGAACTATAAATATTACGAATTTTCATATAAACCACAAGTTTACCCAACACACAAATGAAAAAGTGGTTTCTTTTGTATTTTGAAATAATAAGAGAGTGAGAATTTTCTTTAATTAGCGACGAACTTAGGCTTTATTTTCGTTAAAGAATAACTTAGATAACAATGATAATATTTACAAAAGTCTACATGAAAATTAACGAAGACAGGATCAACTCTAAGATTAGTGTTATGAAAACTAATAAACAAATTTATTTAAATTTAATACAAATTTTATTTTAATTTGCAAATATTTCTACATGTAAGATTTATCAAAAGTATATAATCTTTAAGTCTTTTGATAATCTAACTTTCCAAGAACAGTCAACATCAACCATGAATTTTAATTATAAAGTAATCATTATTATTTCAAACTTTTGAGCAAATTTATGTAGAGTTAAACACAAATGGATTGAAGTAATAAACTCAAATCTGTGAAATTTTTAGAAACTGCTCCATCAATTGATAATAAACAAGCAGACAATAATTAAGAAGTAGCTACAAAAATCATTATACAATGTCACCATAAGTGACATTGAAAATAATTTTAAAATTATAATACGCACGAAATACTACCGTGCGCTTTCATCTATATATTTTAAGAAAAACGAAAGTTTAATTGTTAAATATTTGGGCGGAAAGTGGAAAAAGTTAATATTAATTAATATTTACTTGTTGCTAAGTAATTTTCTTAAAACTTTTCTTTTGAAATTGCTGCTCACTGGGACGTATGATAAATATCAGTGAAGTTAAACAACACTCATGCGCCGGAGGGTATTGTTGACTATTGCCAAACCACAAGCTACAATACTATCAATGTGTGTATGTAACATCTACACTTTGAAATCTATTTTTCTTTTCACACCTTTATTTGAATACGTAAATTTTAATTTCCTTTTATCACCTCGCCTTCTGTTTTACAGTTAAAAGGATTTGACCTTTTCTTGTTTCATGGCTTGAAAAATAAGTCATCTATATATAATATTAATGATGATAGCAAATAATTCCAGTATTTTTCTCTCCTATTGCCCACTCACTCCCTCTAGTACTCTGTCATACTTTGCCGCATTTAATTTTTGTTGACTCTTTGTATGTAACCGTATTTTTAACTTTTTAATTTCCGTTCGTGTCTTTATATTTTTTGAACTGATATTGTTTCTTTGAGCAAATATCAACAACATCAAGAACATATTTCGTTTTTTTTTTTTTCTTTTTACGAACATCATAAACAATGGCAAAACCGCGTTTGTTCTTTTCAAAAATAAAAACAAAAAATAATAAAAAAAAAACTTTGTTAAATTCAACAGAGCTTGTGTACATACTATTGTTGTTATTATTGTTGATGTTGTTGTTATTCATCATCTATTGCTTCTTCTTTTTCTACTTCTGTTTCATTTTCATCTAACTCAGATGCATGCAAAAACAAAGTTTTCTCATTAAAAAAGTCTTTACTATTTCCTTAACAAGCAACACAAATACAAAAGGCAAATAAAGGAAATGAAATTTTTGAAAATGAAACTTATTTTCTTGTTGCTCTTCTTTTTTCTTCTTCTGCTCATACATAGTACTTTCACACGAAACACATACACATACACATACACACACATTCATATTCAACTCGTATTAAAAAACAAACACTGACAAATAATTTTAGGGAAAAAATAAATACTTAAATGAACATTACTTGTGTATTATGTTGACATAATTTCAAAGAAAAAGTAGATAAAACACAACAACATGAAGCGCTCTTATGAAAAATCATTATTCACGAATGCCAATGTCAAATGGGTTTTACCTCCCTCACCTGCTTCATAGGGTTACATTTGAATATAACAAAACCTTAAAAAAGGACACGATTCCAGAATAGAATATAGAAACAGCATTCACTGGAATTTAGTCATTTATTATAAATGTTAATAGTAAATAATCCTTATTTATGATGGATTTGAAATGTGAATTATGACAAACAACTAATGTCTCATGTAAATAGTATGTGGGAACATGGGAACACAATTAAATTATACTGTAATAGATAAATTCACTTACCTTTTAATTGCAGAAGTACTTTCAACAGCCGAAATGAAATTCAATTTATAATATACCCTAAAAATAAAAGAATTAAAAAGAATATCAGTCAATACGTTCCCGAAAAATCAATGAAAATAAATTGTATACTCGTATCAATTTCGTAAATGTTTTTGTTTTATACAGAAAATTGTTTTACATACATACATACAATATCAATATATTTTATTCAAATGCTGTTCGTATAGCAATTTGTTGAAATATCAGAGATTTTTATTTTAATGTAAAAAATTTCCCATGTATGGAAAAAGCATTGTCTGAAGCTGAATCAATGTTGTGTCATTTGCATGCATTAATCTACGAAATAAAGTCGAACGAATGGCTTTGCTTGAATTCAAAATCAATATTCAATGCTTAACAACTACACAATAACATTTACGTAAGAATATGTTGCTCATTTGCTACAAGACTGGCATAACTCCAAAAACATAATTTCAGAATTTCTTAAATAACTTTTATACAAATCATGAGATTTGAAATGATAACATCGCTAAATTGACTTGACTACCTATACACATACATACATACATACATATGTATATACTATACATATAGAGTAGCAAAATTAAATTCGAGAAATTACAAAAGTTATATATACAAATGGACTTAGATAAATAGCAAGATATATTGATGAACTCTTAAAAAAATGCTAAAATAAGTCAAATTTAATATGAAAAGTGCAAACATCGAAAATTGTTAATAACTTAAAATGTCGTAGAGTTCAACCACTTTTCGTATAAAAGTCTAACAAAAATGTTTCCTTTTATATTTTGTTTTATAAAATACACATAGTATACTTTCTGAGAACGTAGTCAAAAATTACAAATATTTTGTATTGCTTTTTGATAAGTTTTGAAATATTGTTTTTCTTTTTTATAATATTTTATATATAACGCTTTAATTCTACATGATATAAACATCAGTACAAATCCAATATACATATTCCACTATGTTGCGTTTCCTCTCTATGCTGCTTTTATAACTTATGAGCGTTAAAGTCATTTTCTCAAGGGGACCTTTAGGGGGTTAATTATGGTCTGATGTCCGCCATGCATCACAGTGTTATAACTGGGTATGTATGCACTTCTGCCAAATTAAATAATGGGGGCCATGTATGGGGTCTTGGGGACCATGTATGGGGGATATGTGACATCCTTGACAGATATTGTTCATTTTAATACCAAACAAACCTTATCAATTGAGAATAACTTTGCAAAATCCTAGCTTCTCCCATATGGTCTCTATTGTGCTTTCGACAGACAGACGGTCGGACATGGCTCGTCATGGATCGACTTAGAATCTAATAATATACTCTAATGGGTCTACGACCAATACTTCGATCAATATATCCCCCAACCTCAACTGATGATGGGTAAAATATACAATACATATTACAAATTAATTTTCCAGATTCACATACACACATATGATCATATTTTATAATATGACATTTTATTTAGTTTTGATCTCTCAACAAACTAATGAACAGCAATTACAATTCTATTACATTAAAATACTATCAGAATTTGTGGCCATATTACGGTTGGCTTAGAAAAACTCTTTAAACAGTCACAAGTACAAAATAAAATAAATGACACACACGCACATGCAATGCGAAATTTCCTTTTCCTTTCGAGGTCTTCTGTTCTTACAGAAGTTCATACAAAATTACATACATATATTCATGGGAAAGTTTTAATCATAATGAACGCAAATACCAATTCTTTGTGGGATTGAGAAGCGTTGAAAAGAAATTGAAAAAGGATTTAAGTGAATATCTTGTATACAAATTCAAATTAAAAAAAATAAGGCAGATTTTTCGCTTTAAGAGATTATTTCGAATATTTATTAAATGACTGTAACGGTAAGTAATAAAACGTCTTTAAAACATCAAGTAAAATACAATCAAATTTTAAAATTATTTTCAGCAAATTCTTAAATGCTCTTTAATGCTGTTGTATTGCGATTAAAGTAATAATTGGTTTTATATTGTTACTAACAAATTATTTTAAATCAATAAATTAACAAATAGTTTTAATTTCATAAACTTCAAAACGTTACAGTACATTTTTTATACCCTACACCACTTTAGTGGGGAGGGTATATTGGGTCTGTGCTGATGTTTGTAACGCACAGTAATATTGGTCCTATACACAATTTAAAGTATACCAATCGGCTTAGAATCATTTTCTGATTCTATTTATTTTGGCACACGATCTTCTATGGTATCGTAGACGAAGCCTATTGAAAATGGTAAACATCGGTCCATTATTTCACCTAGCCCCCATACAACTGAACCCCCGAATAAGGCTCTTAAGTTCATAATTATGTTAAATATACTCGTATCTCGACAAAAAGCTGCAAAACCAAGTTCTATACTAGCCTTGATGACCATCAAACATTTTATAGTTATAGGTCTCATTTGACCATAGCCCCTATACAAAGCCCCCTTCAAAATTTGACTTAAATGTCCACAATTTTATTCAACAATAAATGGCTTAAGTATATCTGAGGCAAGGTACAATTCAACTTAAATGCTTTATTATGAAAACTAAATCACATTATAGTCGGCCTCGCCCGACTATAATTTCTTACTTGTTTATTTTTAAAATCAAGATAAAGTAGTGTTTTATTTTTATTAATTTTAGATAAAAAAAAGTCCTTTTAGGAGTATTAGGTTTCATATTTCTAAAAAATGCTTTGAATCAAATTGAATCATATTTAACAATATTTATTATTTAATTTATATTATAAACTTAATAATTATTAAAAATCTTGAACGATTTATCCCTCAATGAAGCGCTATTACTGAAGACTATTGTTATTTTTATTTTTTTACTTTTACAATTGTTCATTCTTCCAAATAAATAATGGAATTAAAACACATTATATTTAGTGGTTACGTTTTTTCCTCAAATACATATTTTCATGCCTGACCTCATCATAAGTTAAAATTTACAAAAATTAAATAAAATTCAATGATATTGTGGTTAATTATAATCAAAATAAATAAATAAAATCACTAAAAACCAAACATTTAATTTGTGTTAATTATACACATATGGATAAATATAACTTTTAGTTATTTAAAAATATACATACATATGTATGTATATGAAACGAAATATTATATTATTATTTTTTAGCTGATAGACAAAAATATAATTGAGGATCTTTTTTTCAGAGTGATCACAGATTTCCTTTCTTTTTGCCCTAGCGCCTCTCGTTTAGCCAGAAAATGAATGTTAAATTAATTTAAATTATACTATTTGCATTCGCAAAAAATATGAGAGAATGAATAAAGTAAAGAATTTAACAAACATATTTGGTCATTAATATATACATGCAATCTCTGTCAACAGTTTTAAAAACATAAATTTTGACAATTTCATTCAATGCTAAAGGCTAAAAATGATCACCAAACCTAATAAAACGGCTTGTGGCACTAAATGATAAATATAAAATATATATTGTGAATACAGATCAGAATAAGTTTATGAATAAACACAAACGTGTGTACGTATAAGCATATCCATGTCATCGCACGTGACATTTGTACGCATTCAGATTAGTACAGATTTTACAAAAATTGGAATTATTAATAATAACTAGAGTTCGCCCAGCGGTCGAAATTCGACCAGAACCTATGCTGGAAAAAATGCATAAATATGCTAAAATAAAACCCTTTTTTGTAGTTCAAATCTGCGGAAAAAATGAACTTTATTGATATTATCAAAGTGTATAATTTGCTTTGATTAATGTTTTCTTTTAGAAAATGTGATGGGTTTTTGGTAAAAGTCCCATCAGAAGTTCAAAACCTCAATTGTCAAAATTAGTTATACAACTTGTTTTACAAAAGTATTTCAACTATTTTAAAAATAATAAATAACGAACATTTCTTCTATCGACTTATTATCCCCTACATATTTACGCTACGTTCACAATGCTGGAGTACTCTACTGTACACACCATTAAAGATATGTTAGCTGTTCAAAATACAGAGTGGAAATGTTCTAAATAATTTGTCAAAACAATAAAAATATTTAAAATAAATAATGTCTTATCTAATTATAAATAAATTTTATTTGGATGTCATTAGTAGTCCTTCCATCAAGTATATGCTGTATAAATTCTCCCTTATAACACTCGACAAAGACTTCAGCAGACCTACATTTATTAAATAAACGATAAATTGCTAAGTACGGTTAAACACTCTTTATCCCAAAAGACATGATTTATATTTAGCAGTTTCATCTAGCAGTTTTATCTATTTTTATATAGCATATAACCATCCCCTATTCAACTTACAGTTTTCACTTTACACTACTATTTCCTAATTGGTTAGAATAACCCAAAAAATGAGAATATCATCAAATCCTCGCTGTGCTAAACCTGCATATAAGCGATATACCTATCCATTTATTGCGGTGTATCATGTACCGGCATGACGAACTAAACTTTACTTATATTTTATACAGGATTTTTTTTATTACTTACTGACACTGAATTAATTCGTTAATCCATCATTTAAATCTTCCAAATCAATCAAAACTAATAATTATGTATCGCAATTCAGTATTTTATTTCACCGATTTTTTTCGTTAAACATAATCGAAAAGCATCGGCAGTGTAACGACCAATAAAAAGTTCACGTTAATAATTTTATAATTTAAAAATATTTCAATACATAACTTTTGACATTCTTATAGTTTTCCGATCTTTGTCTTTAAAATATTCTACAGTCGTTAAAAAGTTAGGGAATTGAAAATTCGTTAATGTAACCGATATTTGTCATTACTTTACGATATTACTGAATTCCGGTACTGATGTCCTACCAATATTTTTCCAGGTCAAACACCAATATCAGTACATTTTTTGGCATATCTTGAGGTGTCCCCAAGCATTATTTACACATGTTTTTATATTCCCAGTTCGTTGTTTCCTCAGGAAAGTCCTTCAATTTAATTATTTTGAAAAGTTTAAATAACGAAAAACCTTCAATCGAAAACTCTGAATAT